TTATATGCAGTACTAAATAGATAAAGTAGAAAGAACAACGAAGTGAAATAAATTTTCACCCATGGACAACATTTTTACTTTGAAGAAATCAAATAAATATAACCTATGTGACGTAATGTTGAGTTACTGATCATAAAACACTTAAGCGTTAATGAGGTATAGGAAAATGAAGATTAAATCAAAACGATATCTCTTGCAATCTCATTATTCTAATGAATATAAGAGAGAGAATAGTTTTAATTCAGTAAATGAGCTTAACGGTTTTACTCAGAAGGTAAATTAGTCATGATGATGTGGTCATCAGTAATGAGCGAACTACGTGGAGGACTAAGTTACATGCATCAAACAAAGTCAGACTAAGAATAATGGACTAACTCACTGGTAAAAGACAAACAGATAAGATTTGATGTGTATAAAACATATGTTTGTATTACCACAAAATACAATAAGCAAAGGTGGAACTAAATGATTATTTTGTGAAGTCTGATATTTCTGTTCCAGGCGTTACATCATTGAAATTTATCTGTCGCACAGTTTCATTTTACGTAGATGACTGACGACTCAGGTATTCGATAAGTAGTGTAGCTAATTAGAGAATTTAATTCAAAAAATCTGTACTTGTATATTTATATGTTTATTCGATACAGAAAATCTCCATTGCTGTGTAACTTTCAGCAAACTTGTAACTTATGTGTCACACTTTTTCTTGATACTTCTAGTAATCTTAAGATACTCTTAAATGATTGAGAGCATTCGTAGCTCAGGTGGTTTCTTTTGATCGTGCTGAGTTCTCTAATCTAGATAGTTTTAAATGAAGTATTTCCTGAAAATGTCCAAAATGATTATGAAAGTTCCTCAGTTAATTCATCTATCTCAGAGAACTCAACAACCCGGAGAAATTCTCAAAATATCCAAAGTTTTTTAAAGTTATATTTCCAAAGCATAACACTACAGTAGTATAAAGATACTTGTGATTGTATTACTTACCGCCTAATAAACATATAAGAACGTATAGGTGGAAAAAGCTACTGGTTACAAGTAAATTACACTTCTTATCGGAGGTGATTTTGGACGCTTTAGTCAGCTACCTTTAGGAAATTTGTCTAAGAGAATACTGATGAATTGTTTAAAACATTCATGGACCGTTAAACAAGTTAACAAAGCTTTGATTATAATAAGTATCCTCAGTTGTTCTGCTCATTTAGACCTTAACTAATGGTTAGTTAATAAGTTCTCCTCGCTAATTCAATGTTTAAGCTTCCATTAGTTTAAAATTTATCAGCTGCTAATTCAATTTTCAAGCAATTAATTTCCCTTGGCTTTTTAAAATGAATCTGTTCGGGAGAATGTAATGAACAACAAGTGGACTGACACAAACCCATACTATCAATTTTTTAAACTGAAAGTACATGATATTTAGATCTACCAAACAATGGAAACAGTTAAGATATAAGATCATGAGAACATTGTAATAAGATGGACAAATTCACTTCTCCATCAAGAACTCACTTAGCTGAACAATAAAGATTTCGAAGTTAACCCTAAATCTGGTCAAAAGTTATTGTCTAATACTCAATATTTCAAACTCTTATTGAACGAATGAATGTATTAGGTTGGAATTTAGGAGTTATTGTAGTTACCTATTTTGGATGAAATTAAATGTTGGTTTTATGTTGTTAACCAAACTAGTCTTCAAATAACTAATACAGTCAAATTAGGACTTCTAGAACCTTCGAAATCCAGTGACTTAAAACAAAATTTGGGAATTTGAAAGCTGTTGATTATTTCATTTTTGTATGAGTACCACACTTTGAAGATGACTCCTAATGTTCTGAATTTCTCAGTACTTAAGATTGCCATTTCGTTACAATCAGTGAAATGACAATAGTTGTCAACGTAAATTTAAAACCAAAAATTTCATACTGTAGTACATAACAGCTTTCAGTTGCTTATCAATTTATTGTTGTAGGGCTAATGAGCTACATGATTTTTAGCAGACGCGTTAAATATGCTTGCACTAAGAAGTATTTTTGTCTAATATAGAATGCTCCTTAAAGTCAATAAACTATTCTTTTAATGAATGATATCCCTATTCTCAAGGGTTTTCCTGGAGGAATAACCTAGACAAAAGAATGGACAGTAATTCATCCAGTTGATAATTTTTGCTCAGTTCTCATTCCTAGTACAGCTGTAACCAATAAATTGGACTCCTGATTAGTTTTTAAATATTACAACAATACAATGAAAAAATATACATAAGGTGAGGAATGTATTAAAATTGATTGTTACTTTTGTTCCAAAGTCATTTCCAGAGTGTCAGTTGTTACCGTTGATCGGCAATAAAACTTATGTGACATGAAATTAATCGCCAATATGTTGGTTAAAACAAGCGTATTTAGTAGATCACTTTACACTGAACAGTGTTGAGTTAGATTAATAAAGAAGGCTTGTTAGCTATTCATCATCAGTGTTTTGAGAAAAAATTAGCTGTTCAAATCCTGAATATTATAAATATTTTCCTAGATGTGAAATAGTGATACTAGTCATAGCTGTCTGTGTAGAAACAAATTACTACACTCTTTGAAATATCTGTCTTGGCAATCATATAAAGAAAATATGACTAGGGTTTTCCTAAAAAATAAAATAGATTATATATTCATTAATAAAACAAAAGGCCATGACTCACTCAAGATTTCTCCATGATTAAAAACGTTTCTTTCGCATTCCCATACTGGTCATTCTACTTATTTATTAATTGGATGTGAATTGGAATACCAAATTAAATTGCTTAACAATATGTCATAGTTAATTTCTCATGAGAATAGCACACAGCCAAATCAAAGTATTTATAACCATTACATTACTCATTTTAAACACCTGATAGGAGTTTATCATATAAATATACCAATATCATCTATCACGAAGACATTTTTTGCCTAAACTAATATCAAGATGTATTAAAAACCTACTTATAAGTAGTAAACCTTTTTTCGTAAAAACATAATGCACACAGGTAGGTAGAAAAAAAGAACGAAATATCCCACTGTTTCACATATGAAGCACATTTAAACATCTGAACAGTAGGAGAATTTTTAAAGGCCAAACAATAGCCAAACCAAGTGAACGTTTTGAAACAAATTTTTTTCTTCTATTCCCACTGTCATCCAAACGTGGTCCGACAGAATTCGAGTCAAATTGTAGAATCCCATTTCACAATCTTTAAAATTCGTTGGATAGGAAAAGATCTAGAATTTTTCGTTAGGAACATGTGTTAGCTATATTGGTTTATTAAAGAATTTCCAACTATTCAGTTACCGAAATAACAATGTAACTGCTAATTATCTTGATCAGGAATATAGTTGCTTATATAATGAGAGAAACAAGATTGTCTCCGGCACTTAGATCCTCAAGAGTACTGACAAAGATTTTACAACATCCCGGTTAAAATATTGCGCCCAAATGGATTTATTGTTTAAGAAGTGTCATTCATCACTGACCCTATCATATATATACCAACAATACATTTCGTAGTGTCCTACATTTAAATGTTTTTAATTAATGTTTAGTAGAATGAAAAGATGGATTTCGCCAGCTGAATATACCTGCATTCCAGAGTTGATGTTCACTCCGGGACTCAAACCAGAACCGTTCACTTCAAACGCCATCACGTTATCTATTTAGCTAATGAGTCCTGATCGCCAACTGCTCGTGCAATGTGGTTAAGTTTAAATTCACTTAGTGTTGCTTGCTTCTATCTTCCCATTGTTGCTTAGGATTGCAATTGATCAGTCTCTTGTTGGCATATGTGCTTCCTGTGAGGATCACCCCGCTTCATCTTAGTCTACATAAACGTTCGGGCCACCTATTTTTCAATTGTGCCAATAATGCAAATAATGATCAATTGTTTGCCTAGTCAGACTAGTAAATAGTCTGACAGGTGTTAGATTGGTTATATATTTTCACACCCCTATTATTATTACTATTATTATTATTGTAATTGTAGTGCGCTGTTGGAGTGGAAATATACTTACGTTCTGGTCAGGCCAGTCACGTGTTCTTGATCTGAGTTGTGTTGAAGTCCTGTAAAATAGATACTGAGAGGGTATCTACTGTATATGTTCGTCTAGGGCAAATTAGCATCCCATTCGTGTAAAGAAGAAAACCGAGTCATTTCAGCAATCAAATAGCTTCTTTCAGATTTGTTCGAGCTGAACAATAGTGAATTCTAACTCTGTATTCACTCATACGCTATCATAAAACAGTCACAAATTATCGTGATGCTAAATACAGAAAAAAGTGCAGGCGGAAGCACTACAGTTCTTGGTAGGTTTTTTCTTTACCTATTTTTTGATAAGATGAGAGACAAATGTACTGAGATTCAAGCAATTTATTTATTATGAATACAAAGTTAATTGTAGCAGGTAAACTGATAGAAATCTTTGGGAATCGAATATAGGTAGGGGATATTGAACGTTAAAAAAACTTTTAAGCATGTTTTAAAATAATTACAGTTTGAATGTATGTTGAAGAGGTATCTAGTGTAATATTGTACAATAGGTGCTGATGATTCCTTTATTCACTAAAATTTATAGTATTGAATAAAGCTATTATTATCACTACTATTATAATTATTATTAATATTGGTGACATTGTGTTTTATAGCCTGAATGTTTGCATAAACAATTCTGTTTATCAATTTATTTTAAATTGTAAAAACTTATCTAAAAATTCTCAATAATGCTAAACGATGGTCTTACCGATCCGTTAGAATTAAAATATTTCGATTTATCAACAGTCATTCTTTGGATAGAACTTACCAATAGTTTAAAGTAAGCTAAAACTGTGAAAAATTAAAGTAACAAGAGAGATTACAACAACAAACTAAATAATTTATTGTTTATCAAGTATCCTATCAGATTCACTTAACAAAGGGAAGAGATTTATGTAATAGTAATAATAATAGTAATAATAATAATAATAATAAAACATTTTCATAATTTCTATATTGGATCTTTATTTATTAGCATCAATAAATCTTCTGTTAAAGTCTCCCTTTTCTTATCATTAGCATAACCTAAATTCTGTAGATTTTTTACGGCGATATTGAATATGATATCTACGAAACCTTGGGTTTGCACTTTAGTTACTGAAAGAAAAGTAAAAAGATAGTAGAGATAAGGTAGAGCTTTAAAGCCAAAAGAAATTTTATGTAGTTATATAATAAAATACACCACAACGTTGATGTAAATATTCTTACCCTTTGTTGTTACCGATGCCGAAACCACACCATAGGATCAATAGAACGGTTAAGGCACCTTAACTTGATGTCTATCACTCATTTGCTAAAAGACGCCTCAACGGTGGCTGAAAGGAGGTTCAGCGACTCTTCTAATCTAGGATAAAGTGTATCAGAAGAGCTTTCGAACGTGTGTTTTTTTCTAAATACAGCACTACCAGACCAAACCAACAGAACCGAAACTTTAAAGTAAATAACATTAATTAGGTCTAATTGTTGTCATCATTAATTTCAAGAAAGATTATGGAGGGCTCAAAAGCCCTTTTACACTGACCTGAGGTGTAAGCTCTACAACCAGCTCTGACAGCTTTTAAATGAAACACTAAGATTACGGACGATATAATGATTACACTACAAAAAGAACTGAGCTAAAAACGGAAATGCTGAGACTGAAACCCTTATTTTCTTCCAACAATATTGTTATAAATGGTACCATTATCCTCCACAAATGCATACATAAAGCTATGAGTTTTACTAGATCACACTAAAGAGAACTGGGTCAGTCACACTTGTATCAGTAAAAAATCCTCAAGATTGACTGATGACAAATGAACAAAGTAAGTAGCTGATATATCTTCACATTGCCACCTAGTGATGGTCAAGCTAAAGATAAATCGGGCAACCAAATTAGCGAAACTACAAAGTTTAACATAGTACTCCTAAGAAATGCTAACAAATTCAATGAGGTAAAAATAACTCTAAATAGCACGTTTCAAGACTTATGATATCTGTTAGGAGCAGCTACGGAAAATGGTTGGTAAGGAACTAAAGGAGCAATAACTTAGAAATAGCAGGAAATGCCACACCGTAACAAAAACCAACATGAAAATAAAGCTCTATCAATAACTTGGTAGGATCCAAGATAGGGAAAACAAGAAGACGGAAGTCAGTGATAGCTGAATAAGAGTAGAGAAAGCCAGGACACAGGCCAAAAAGACAGAAGAAAACTAGAGAGTGAAGAAGAGAAGTAAAGTTTAAATGCTAAAATATGTGCCAGGTCTAAGAAGGACAACAGAAGCTGCAGGAGAAGGTAATATTTAAGAACTATCTAGTGTAATCAAAGAGCTGACAGGGGAATATAATTAACTACGGTGACCAGTCAAATGCAAAGAAGGTAAACCAGTCAGTGAGGACCAAAGGCAGTAGGAGAGAGTTTAGACATCATGAAGAGCACCTGAATAGACAAGTCACAATGAACCCACCAATCTTCGACGCAGCACACATAAACCTCCCAATAGATGTTGGTGCAACAACACTCAAGAAAATCAAAAAGGTTATCAGGCAAAGTTGGGTGAAAAATGGCAGAACTAGACAGCATGCGGGATAATGCACTGAATTCGGAGGTAGAGACAACTGTGAAGGCGTTACATAGTAACTTGAGAAAAATTCGAAAAGACGGATAAATACTAGCAGACTAGGAAGTACAGTACTTCCTCAACATAACAAGAAGAAAATATCCCAGTAACTGTGAGAACTACTGAGGTATCACACTACTACCGGTAACAAGCAATAATTTTGACAAAGTGTTGATCAGTCTGACTATAGATTCAATAGACTTTCAACTTTAGAATCAACAAGCTGGATTTCGTAAAGATTGACCATGTACTGTTCAAATCGTAACACTACGTATTATTGTTGAACAATCAATAGAATAAAACTCACCTGACTGTGAGAAAGCATTAAACAGGATAAATAAGAGAGCTTTGCGAAACTTTCTTCGACACTTCAGGGTGTCTGGGAAGATTCTCGACATCATGCAAAATTCTTACGATGAACTGCACTAACAAGTCGTGCATGGAGGGCAGCTTACAGATGCATTCCAGATGGAGACTAGTTTCAAACAATGCTGCTCACTCTGACTTTACACAACTGGGCGGCACTGTTGACAAACAAGGGAGATCTGATACAGATGTGAAGGCACGGATGGACAAAGCAAGGACAGGAATTTCTGGAATTGAAGAACATCTCGAACTCAAAATAACTGTCACTCAACACCGGTCAGAATTTCTAATATAATCGTCAGGACAGTCCTAGCTTACGCAGCTGAAACTTGGAGAACCATCATCAAAAAGGTATATGTATTCATAAGTAACCGTTTATGCAAGATATTCCAAATCCGTTGGCCAGGCACCATCAGTAATGGGCAACTGTGGAATGAATCAAACCAACTTTTAGGTAAAGAGGAAATTAGGAAAAAACTCTGAAGGTGGATAGGAGATATATGAGACTCCTGGTTGGTGGTCTATGCTCGACAAGGGGTAGCAGGTGCAAAAAATTAAGCTTGTGAGTTGATTGACATAACATATTCGAGTTGGATGGTATGAATAAAAATTCTTAGAAGCTCGTAAACGGACAGATGAAAAATTCAATCAATCTATTAGTTGTTAACGATGGTTAGGCAAATATAAGAAATAAAAATGTAAATATGATTTTATATCAGATATATGGCCATGTTTTCAAAATTCGTAAGCCATCCCTCTATAGCTAAAGATTAAGTTCGAAACGATTGATTCCGAAGTTCAATTTATTCAACATCTTAGAATATGTCTAAAAAGAAAAAATGAGCATCTAAACTATTATTCCGCAATATTTTGGCTTAGTACGTACAATATTAATTGTTTCCATCATGAATATACTTGCATTGAACTGCTCGCCATGTGAAATTAACTTTTGAACAATTCATCAAGAGAATGATTTCAGGACAAAACGTTCAAAATAATCATTTAAAAAATTTTTACAAAGTTTCTAGCTATTTGCGAGAAAGGTTATGAAGCTGTCCACTAGAAAGCGTACTTTTCTCACAATTCTTACCACAAGCTACTAGTGCAAAACTTTAGATTGCATTTATTGTAACGCATATTCTACCTAGTGTACCGCATATAGCCAGGATTGAGGTTTAAAACCGTAAGCTGTATACAATTATAATGAAATGTCAGATATTTTCAAAATTCATTCGCAATTAATTTAGTTTCTCACCTTTCCTTTAATACTTTCGTTGAACCACTTATATTCATTCTTAGTCCGACTTACACTCTAATTTGTTAGATTTTCCAATAATATACAAATATAAGACATAACAAACAACAAAATAAATTTAAGAGAAAGATGAGTTCTTAAATGCATTAATCGAGATTTAATTTGCATTTGGGGAATATAATTACTAGGATCATCTATCAGCAGACATTTTAAACAGCATAATTTTGTAGATGCGGCACAAAATACTGGGTTTATATATTACGCTTTTTGTGTTTAACCATAAGACTGAGTAAAGTGCACCATATTTGTTTGAGATCACTATTCAATAGTGTTATGAATGATAATCACTTTGGAAGACAAGCTAACAAAGATAGATTCTTTTATCGTAAAAATTAAGTTGGTTTAAAAGCAATCAAATAACTATAAGAATCTGTTTTCAATAACTAACCTCCACGACCCTCACCATAAGCTATTACTTTCGGATTAAGAAACTCTGGTCTTTTTCAGTTAACCATGCATTCAATTTCATTAACTGTGAAGAAGATTGGGGCACAAACATGGATACTCTTTTTTTGTGGCTAAATGACAACAGGATAGTAAGAAACATTTACATTACTCATTTTAGTATTACCTTTATGTTAATAAATAACCATATTCAAGTAAAATTATATTAAACGGCAATATCATATGTAATCCGCAACTGTCACTTTAAAAGAAACTGGTCATAACCTTAACTAGACATTGAAAACTTTAAAAAATATTTGGTTTCTCGTCACATTTACTTGCAGTCAAGGTTCTAGAATTTTTAACATCCGTCAATCAAACAAAAGATTTTGCGTTCATTGGATATAACTTCGCTTTATTCAAATTTTAACATACCCTGTCCATTTACAAAAAATCAGATCACTTAGTTAAGTGAATAATTGTAGATAATAGTAATTAGCTTTATATAACAAAAATAGTTAACATGAAGATATATAAGAACAAATGGATAAGATGAGTAAGTCTATTCACATAAATTAGCAATAACCTAGTATCATCAACGGATGTGACATCGTCTGAAATAAAGCAGATAATAGTTTGTTCACCAGAACAGTTATAAACGTGTTAAGGAGAATAAAAATTGTAAAACTATATTTGGCAAGTCAGTTGTCAGTATTTTAAACAACTTAAAAACTAAAATTCACAGTCATTTGTCAGGTGGAGTAGATAATAGGAAATTATATTTAAAAGCAACTTTAAAATAATCAAAATGCAGACAATGAACAGTTCTATTAAATTTCAAAGTATAAACACTAATTAGTTCAAAGAACTGCTTTAAACATGTCTTAGTACCAATATGCAGGTAATTCGAGAACTAATACTTTCTTATACGTTAAGTTAACCTAGCTGTAGCGCACAGTTTTCGAGTCTTATGGACTTTAAAGATAAATGGTGAACATTTACAAACATTTAGTTATAATCCATGTGTGGTTCCAATATTATGGCAGAAACAATCTGTAAATAAAAGCAAACTACTGATGAAAAATAGATGAATTACATAAATCTTCACCTCTCAGTTAAAAATTAAAACACTGAACTTGTTATTAAAACTTAACCGGAAACTTTGATCTCATGTTTGACCCATCAATTTCTGAATATATCATCGTGATTTCGACACTTTATTCAACTTTTTGAATGTTATCACACCGAATTAAATCATATTTAGTGATTATTGTGCGGTAATTAAAAAAAATAATGAACTTCTGAATAAAGATAATTTCAAAACATGCAGTTTAATGATTGTTTCCGATGAAACATGTTTCTACACAATGATATTATACATATATCATCATAGAAATACATCCGGTGATGGGTGTTGGCTATCGACGGTATACATTTATCCAAAAGTTTATATTAGCAAAGTTTAGACCACAATAGTATTCTAAGCACGGTTGAACATATCCTATACTATCACGATGCTCCTTAGCAGATAATGAACCTAGCAGAAGACTTCATTGCCTATGATAATACAGGTTTGTCAATCTTCTACCCAAATAATATGAAACTTAAGGTTCTGTTTGAATATCAGCGATGCGAAATATCTCAAGTTTCTCATGCAAAATAGTGATAAAACAGATTAGCTCAACTTGAGGTTTTCAAAAACAAACATCCATTTGCATTAAACTAAAACGATCGTTTTAGTTCGAAGTGAAAATATTGATTAATCATAATAATGTACCTTCCGATCTTCATTGGAACGTGAACGGCACCGTAACCTCGCAGAACATCCTTACCAAAGACGTCAACGCCATAAGCATGGAGGACGATTTGAGGCCCTTTAAAATTCAGAAACATGAAATAACGTACAACCGAATGGGTTTGTAGACTTCCATGAAATGTCAATTGGAAAGTTGAAATTGTTCTGATCATTGCAACCAACACCTTTAATAGAAGTTTGAGTCATCCCTTCATCGAGACCCTGTCATATTTCTGTTGTATAGGTCATTTTAGAATCTTACGGTTAATTTGGTCCAGTCTTGACCAGTTGCGAAGCAGTACTTGCACCATATATAGTCATGGAGTGGAAACTATGGAATACATCAATAGCTTTAATATCTTACGTCAGCCTTTTCAATCTGTCCAGTGACTGACAACAGAAAGTAACCACCTAAACTACCATCAGATGACATTTTTGAAATACTACGGTGCTATGAGCATAGGATTAATGCCCATCTGATGAATACAAACGCCAGATATTCGATTTTCAATGTCGAATTGGGGAGCGTGTAATAATTAATGCATATCTCCAAACTGATAATTTTATATCGCTAAAGGACTTTTATAACCCATTGTTCTCCGGGCTACTGATTCATGGGTAAGCCTCTTGTAGCGGTAAATAAATCCCCAAAATAAATAGCACTAAGTTTTCGACATTGGATGCTGACCATATGTTTTAGTGGACTCTTCTAGCTGAAGGCGCTCGGTCAGGCATCCGCACCAGATCACGTGTGGTAACGCCGTGCTCAACATCAACCGCAATCGCTAGCCAGATTAGATCAGAGAATTCCGATATATTGGTCATCGCCAAATATACTCTTCCGATCTCCTCGACTCTGTCTTTTGATTTCTCTTGGTGAGAACGAAATACATTAGAAGGTGTTACTGGTAGAAGCGTTTTCAAACACTGAATACCTGTGACATCATCACTCTTAATCTTGACTCTTCACGCTTAACTGTAAAACTTGAGTTCTAGATCTTCCGAAACTACAGTTATCCTGCTATTGTTTATTAGGCATCAAAACTTAATCGAAACATTTGAATCAATTCTCTGTGTGATGGTTCCATCAAAGAAGAGGAGTAGCCAAACATGTCAGACCCAAGCAACACAAAAAGGGGAAATAAAGGGGGAAAAAGGGGAAATAAAGGGGTAAATGCTATGGTAGCAAAAGGGGAAATATAGGGGAAAACGCATCAGAATGTCGCCTTTTTCGCCTGTCCGGGGGAAATAATGCGGATTTTCCCCTTTTTCGCCTTTTTGTCGACAAATTACGGACTTATCGCCTAAATATCCGCTAAATTGTCGCATTTTCGCCTAAATATCCGCTGAATTGTCGCATTTTCGCCTAAATATCCGCTGAATTGTCGCATTTTCGCCTAAATATCCGCTGAATTGTCGCATTTTCGCCTAAATATCCGCCGAATTGTCGCACTTTCGCCTAAATATCCGCTGAATTGTCGCATTTTCGCCTAAATATCCGCTGAATTGTCGCATTTTCGCCTAAATATCCGCCGAATTGCCTACTTATGCGCCTAAATGTCTACTTTTCGCCTAAATACACACGTTACCTACTATTTTCTATCCATCAACAGAACCCCAAAGGTCACCTATGTTCGCCTTCATTGTCAACAACAGACCAAAATATATCTGCAATGCAGTGGAAAAGCGGTTAATATTTCAAAAATTTTATTGAAAAATAAAAGCGTATTATTGTACAACAGAAGAGCACAAGCTGAAGCATCGATTGTTATGCATATCCAATGCAATTGGTAATACATTGTTATTTGAAATTATCTGAAAAAGAACGAACACGTTATAATGTATTCATAAGAAATGTGCATTAAATCAATAGTTCACTTAAACTCAAACACACATTCTCAACAATTCAACAGTTTCCCATGTAGGTAAAACAGTAAGCTGTTTGAAAGAATAATGTTTATTGAAATGGAGGTACAACATCAAAGCAATTGCACGGACTAATCACAATTGGGGTAGTCGTCCTGTGAATTCTGAATTTAAAAAAAAAACAAAAAAATAGTCACAACCATATCTCAATGACATGCTTTTGCACAACCAAATACTTGAAGCTGAACTTACGGTTATGTTCGTCAGTATTGTTGACTGTAACTATAGAGCCGTAGGGAGGTTATCACTTTAAATTAGTACGTACCTGATTTTCTTTTCTTCTATTTCGTTTTATCATCTTGTCTCGGAGGTCGTGAAAGTAACCTTGTGTCGCTATGTCGTATAGCTTACCGAGGTCTTTCTCATTTACAGAGGATGACAAAAAACGATGAGTTAAGGCACCTGAAGTTTAAGTAATAGATATAGGTTACTTCGTATGCAGCTGTAAAACGTGCATTTATGTAGTGCTCGTTTAGAAGAGGTGCCAAGTAACGTGAATTTACTGGCAACCTCCGGTGTCAGCAGATGCGACAGAATAAAACGCATGGACGTCTTTGGATCGTCACCTGATAACCTAGTGACCATTGCCATCTGTAATAGTAACAAATTATTCAATTCATGTCAATGACTTACAAATCTGTCCCTGGTTTCTTTCTGCGACAAACCAGTGTCTAGCATCTGTAGTTCCTCTTCAGATGACAAAGGGAACTCCTGACTTGACAATGACTTCTCTCTTTACTTATATCAATTAAGTAAACAACATTGTTAAACTCAGTTACCTTTTACGGTGCTTTCATTTGCAACTCACTGACCGAAGGAAAGTGATATTTTTTCATGAAAGCAGCTCTCATTTTATTCCACCTCCGATTATAAGTGGTTCTGTGACAACCAAGGGAACGTGACAAGTTCACAGTTGCCCTACGTCTACGAACATTCTCACTGATATCAGAAAAAGTCTTATTATTGGCCTAAGAAGGTAATCAGTCACAATGAACCTAAAGTCCTGAGAGCACGTCACTCACCGGCATCACGTAAGTTTTTGTGATGGCTCCCAAGCATGTCGGAACACTTCAGCTAAACAACAAACGAAGTCACTCTATATGCGTATCAACCGAAAGCCTGGTTCCGTATTTTGTACATTGTTTTTAGGAAAATACTTTGGTTTTTTTAATTGGCGGTGAATACATTTGTCGAAGTTTATGAAAAATTCAGTTCCAGATGCGGTTCATTCAAACACTGTACGTTACGTAGAACTGTCGACAAATTTCCCCCAAATACACGACGTCAGGGGGAAAAAGCGACATTTCCCCTAAATAACCGACGTTAAGGCGGAAAAAAGCGACATTTCCCCTTTATTTCCCCTTTCGTCCGCTTTATTTCCCCTTTTTTCCCCTTTATTTCCCCTTTTTGTGTTGCTTGGGTTTAAGGTTCTGTTTGAATATCAGCGATGCGAAATATCTCAAGTTTCTCATGCAAAATAGTGATAAAACAGATTAGCTCAACTTGAGGTTTTCAAAAACAAACATCCATTTGCATTAAACTAAAACGATCGTTTTAGTTCGAAGTGAAAATATTGATTAATCATAATAATGTACCTTCCGATCTTCATTGGAACGTGAACGGCACCGTAACCTCGCAGAACATCCTTACCAAAGACGTCAACGCCATAAGCATGGAGGACGATTTGAGGCCCTTTAAAATTCAGAAACATGAAATAACGTACAACCGAATGGGTTTGTAGACTTCCATGAAATGTCAATTGGAAAGTTGAAATTGTTCTGATCATTGCAACCAACACCTTTAATAGAAGTTTGAGTCATCCCTTCATCGAGACCCTGTCATATTTCTGTTGTATAGGTCATTTTAGAATCTTACGGTTAATTTGGTCCAGTCTTGACCAGTTGCGAAGCAGTACTTGCACCATATATAGTCATGGAGTGGAAACTATGGAATACATCAATAGCTTTAATATCTTACGTCAGCCTTTTCAATCTGTCCAGTGACTGACAACAGAAAGTAACCACCTAAACTACCATCAGATGACATTTTTGAAATACTACGGTGCTATGAGCATAGGATTAATGCCCATCTGATGAATACAAACGCCAGATATTCGATTTTCAATGTCGAATTGGGGAGCGTGTAATAATTAATGCATATCTCCAAACTGATAATTTTATATCGCTAAAGGACTTTTATAACCCATTGTTCTCCGGGCTACTGATTCATGGGTAAGCCTCTTGTAGCGGTAAATAAATCCCCAAAATAAATAGCACTAAGTTTTCGACATTGGATGCTGACCATATGTTTTAGTGGACTCTTCTAGCTGAAGGCGCTCGGTCAGGCATCCGCACCAGATCACGTGTGGTAACGCCGTGCTCAACATCAACCGCAATCGCTAGCCAGATTAGATCAGAGAATTCCGATATATTGGTCATCGCCAAATATACTCTTCCGATCTCCTCGACTCTGTCTTTTGATTTCTCTTGGTGAGAACGAAATACATTAGAAGGTGTTACTGGTAGAAGCGTTTTCAAACACTGAATACCTGTGACATCATCACTCTTAATCTTGACTCTTCACGCTTAACTGTAAAACTTGAGTTCTAGATCTTCCGAAACTACAGTTATCCTGCTATTGTTTATTAGGCATCAAAACTTAATCGAAACATTTGAATCAATTCTCTGTGTGATGGTTCCATCAAAGAAGAGGAGTAGCCAAACATGTCAGACCTGGAAAACGGTCGAGATTTTTGGGGAAAAGAAGAGTATAGAAGAAATAATATTCTCGCACAAGTTCTGTCAACGTTTGGAAGAACAACAATAAGTTCAGAGTGGCTGGAATATACCTATCACCTCTTGATATAGCGTTAAAAATCATCGTCAATCCAGATGTACTCAGGTGCATTTGCATGCCAAACTCAATGTGAAATACATGATATTATTTGTGCGAGCAAAGCTAGTCAAGTATAAGAACGCCGGCATGCGGCAAATTTCAGCTCTGTGTTGTACGTAGTTGCAGTCGGACTTGATTTGTATAAATTCCCAATGATCACAAACTTTCAAAAAGTCAGCAGGGACAGTGAAGAAGCTTACGTCAATACTCAATGCAACGCTAAGATAAGGAGGGAAATGTTGTATTTTCGAATATGTTTGAATGATGTATTATAGCCGATAAATAGGTAATTTTCTAAGTCTCTAGTTAAATGCCTAACTAATTAGTGTTGAAGATGCCACAGGTATTTGGAGTTTGGCAACGCTTTAACCAGTAACACCTAATATGAAGCGTACCCACCAAGTGAAATCAAAAGACAGAAGCGAGGAGGTTCGAAGATATATTTGATAGGCTATCAATATATCGATAATCGTCTCATCCAATCTGGCTACCGATTGCAGTAGATGTTGAGCACGGCGTTCCCACTAGTGATCTGGTGCGGAGGCTATCTTGAGTTCCCGAGCGCTTGAACCGATCACATCAGTGGTGAAATTAATCTGATGATTGTCATCT